TCGTGTTTGTGTGTGTGTGTGTGTGTGTGTGTGTGTGTGTGTGTGTGTAAAGTGATTGCATAGTGGGGACACTGTGTTCATCAGAGGATCCACCCACTGATGTGTTCAAAGCTGAAGGTGCTGTTAGGAGGTGGGGATGGCTGGAAGAGGTGGGTCATTGGGGTGTGACCTGGCAGGGTGAAATCTTGTCCCTATGTTCTCTCTTCTCTTTTTGCTTGCTGGCTGCCATGAGGTGAACAGCTTTCCTCTGCCACACCCTTCTGCTATGATTTTTCTGCTAATGAGCTAGGTATCCATGGACTGATCCCTCTGAAACTGTGAAGCAGATTAAACTTTTCCCCTTGTAAGTTTTGGGTGTTGGGCATTTTGTTTCAGTAATGGAAAAGTAAATAATATACCTGTGCTTTGTGGTCTCTGCTTCCCACACCTTTTCCCTTAGCTGATTTTCCCCAGTGGTTTCCTGAATCCTTCCTGAAAATGATGGAAGCTGAGGGGTCTTGGCACTGCCAAACTTGCAGCTGGCATTGGAAGCAAGGATGAGCTGTGGACTGGCTCTTCAACTCACAGCAATGCTGCTGGCTGGCAGGTGCCCAAGCAGAACAGGTTGCTATACATGTTGGATTTCACCGATGTAGGCAGGATTTTGAGAAGGAGCAGTTGATGGTTTCTTCCTTTTATAATTTATCTTTGTGTAGTTAGAGGGAAAGAGGAGAGAGAGCTATGTATATGTGATACATATGCTATTTATCCACATATGCACATAAACACGTACATATATGCATACATTTACACAACATACATACATCTACACACATATACATGTATTTGCATATATATGGAGGGGGCACATTTACCTACTTATGGGGGGGCACTGAGGACTGACAGGAGACAGAGCCTGGGTGACTTGCTCCTTAACTTACCTTAATTGTGATGCCACTCCTGAGAGCTGGAGCAAGGGAGAAGTTTGTGTGTGTGTGCGTGCATGTGCGTGCGTGCTCAGTTCACCCACAGGGGTTTGGAGGAAGCACAGAGTTTGTTGTCTCCTGAGATGATTTCAGAAAGGCTGTCTGAAAATACCGCGTGGAGCATATGTCTGGGCAGTGGGAGGGAGAAGTTATCCGCAGGCTCCTGTTTCCCATTGGTCCAAGGAGCCGTGGCCATCCCCATCCCTTAGGAGACTGGGGACGAGGGGCACTGTTTCCTGGAGAGGGTCTGTGAGGAGCAGGCTGCTGGCAGGGCCTTTGGTGGGAGGACTGAGGGGGTTGAGGGGGAACGAGGGGGGCCCTTAAACTGTTCCACGTCCTGGACCAGCATTCAGTTGCCCCTTTGATTCCTAAGAGGCAGCCCTGAAGGCTTTGGTCCAGAATTGATAGCAGCTAAGTGCGAAACAAAGAGCCCTTAGGGAGGGTGGGTTTTGGGGAAGCCTCATTCCTCTGGGAGATTTCCTAAAATAACACTGTTTGTTGGAAAGGGAGAGGCCAAAAACTCTGCTGAGCAGACTGGGGGGCGTTGTAATAAGTGTGCCAGCTTTGTCCTGCCAGCTTGGCATGTGTGGGTGGGGAGGCCGGTCTCCCCAGGGCCTGCTGCCAGGGTAGCATGAAGGAGGCTCATTCAGAGGTGGAGGGGCCCTTGCAGGCCTTGTCTGTGAATGGAGCATTGATAATGCGCACATCCTGCTCTTCGTCTGCTGGCACGGGCTGCCCCTCTTCGAGTGCTCCACGTGGTTGGAGTCTCCTCTTCCTGACTGACATGGCTGTGACTGGGGTGGGTTCAGGACTCCTGAGCCAAGGCCATTGGAGTCTCTGACCTGTGGCTCTGAAGGGCATGTTTTGCCCCCAAGGGCTGGTGAGCAAATGAAATGGGTAACTCCTATGCCCTCTCCAGAACAGGGCAAGGCACCTGATGGTGTTCAGCTCAAATGGACAGGGGCACCAGGTCACCTCCTGTGGTAATTGGACTCTGAGTGCCAAGAATGCTGCTCTGCTACCTGTGTTCTGCCTCCGAGGGAGATGGCAGGGGTTAGCGCGACCCCCACCATGCCATCAGTTGGCCACCATGGCCGGAAAAATCAATGGTGAGGCTGGGCTGCTGCTGTCATGCTGACTTCCAACAGCTAAACTCACGACACAGCCTGGTGCGATGTGGCAGGAGGCTGTGGGGTGCATGAACCCCTCACGGGGAAGACACCTACACTCACTGTGGTGGTGAGAACGGCTGGGGTCCAGGAGGTGCTGTCCTGCATGGGGTTGGGTAGTAGCTGGTACAGGGCCACACGGTCTTTGGGAAGGCCAAAGTGATTCGAAATTCTCACAGATATCTGTCTCTGAGGGGCTCAGATAAGGAATTTGGGGAGGTGTTTGCCTTGTTTTACAGAGGGAGCATTTGAAGCATGGAGCCAGAGAGGGACATTGGGATTTTTCTCCCAGTCCTGAGAGACTCAAAGCCAGGGCACTTTGAAAAGCTCTGGAGTCTCCAGCTTCTTCCGGATCTGCGTGCCCGTGGGAAGGCCCCACAGAGATGTTCTATTCATTCAGTGCCACCAAGAAGGAATAAATGAACACTATGGTCATGGCCACCGTGATGATCTTGTCAGAGCCCCACAGCCGGGGCTGGGGGTACAGCGACACCCAGGGGTTGGGGTCCAGGACTTGTGTTGACCCTACTGGCCCGGAAGTCAGGGCTTTTAGTTCTGCCCAAGGTTTGCAGCAGTTCCCCCTGCATCCTGGAGACAGAAGACTTAGTAAACAAGACTATTTTGGGTGCTGCTGGTGGATTGGACTCGAGAGGGAGCTGGCCCGGCCCCAAGGGACCTGCAGAAGGTTCAGGGAGGAGCTGCTGCCAGAGTGGGCAGGCACCCGAGGTGGGGCTTCTCCACAGACCCATCTGGGGTCCAGAGCACCTGACTGGGTGCTGGAGGACCCAGGGGCCTCACAATGAACCCTCCCATCTGCCTGGGCCCCAAGGGGTGGAGAAGAAGCAATACCCCTCTAATTCCACTGCCACATGGGCCAGGAGCTGTCACTGCCTCTGGCCTCCAATCCCCTGCAATTTAGAGGAACAGCTAGGACTGTCTCTGTGTAAGAGCTAATTTTCAGCTCTTGCGTTCATGTGGAACCTGGAAATTAATTAACTCAGACATGAATCCTGGCCTGAGCACATGAAGAGGACCCTTGTTAGTAAAACGTTGCCCTTTGGCTGGCAGGAGGTTGGCAGCTGGAAGTCGGCTAGGGGAAGCAGGCGGCGGCTCTGGCAGGTCCCACCTGCCCCTGCCCTGCAGTTCATGCCTCCTTCCCCGACAGGACCGTGGGCTTCCACAATCCCTGAAACCATCGGGACTTGGGAGCCTCACATCAGGCCTGGAAGGGCCCCAGGGTCCTGGGCAGTGGGGCAGGCAGGGCCACAGGGAAGCCATCATCTGGGCAGGGGCTGGAGAAGGCCTGTGTAAGAGGACTCAGGCAGTGACAGTGAAGCAGGAGCCCAAAGTAGAAATCAGAGTTTTCAGACAGGGGCAGAGGGAACGGCCTTCTGGGCTGGGGAGCAGCCCTTGCAAACACCTGAGAACACAGCCAGGAGCCGGGGTGGCCGGCTTTCGGGAAAGCAGGGAGCATTCTGATCGGTCCACTCCGGGACCTGGCTGGGGGAAGGTGCCCCCCTGGCATGGCCTGGGAAGCCCACTACTATCTGATCTTTAAAAGCGTGGTGGGTGGGAAGAGCTAGGCGTCTTCCAAAGCCCCTCTCTCCCCAGGCTCCAGGGAAGGGTTAGCTCTCCCCACTCCGTTGACAGAGCAGCTGGCTCTTTGCCAGCCTCCTGCGCTTAATTGCTAGGTGATCTGGAGAGCGTGTTCTCTTCTGCTGAGCCTGAGAGTGTGCGACAGAGCTACGATAATCACAGCTTGTCACTACTCTCCCCCTCCAGGACCCCAGCCACCCCCATCCTGTATCTGGCAGAGCCCTGAAGACACTGCAAAACAATTCAGTGTACAGATGGGGAGGGTCCTTGGAGGCTAATTCTTCCCGTAATAATAATAACAATAATAATAAATATTGATAATAATAATTAACTGGCCTTTACTGAGACATTACTATGCTCAGGCGAAATGGCGTTAATTTCCTCATTTAATCTTTACTTCAGCCTTATGGGATGGAGACGACGACGGCCCCATTTTACAGAGATGGAAACAAGGCCCAGAAAGATCAAGTAATTTCCCCCAGGTCACCCCACAGCGTGACGCAGTGCATTGTAACCCACAGTCAGCAGGGTTTCTCTGTACCCCTCATGCCTGACTGGTGCTGGGCCCTCATGAGGGTGGCCACATCGGCAGCCCCCATTAGAGGTGTGACCCCGCCCTCCTGAAACCCTGGTCGATTAGTCAGGGTATACTGGCGGCAGCCAACCTTTATGGCTGGGTGTGGCAGGCAAACATGAGTGGACCAATTTTTTTTTGTTTTGTTTTCAAGGCACCAAGCTGAAGCCAGATCCTAAGGAAGAAGAGCCTGGCGCTCCAAGTGGGTCCTCCACTTCTGCTTCTCTCCCAGGCTGGGCTGTCCAGGTTGTGTGTGGTCCTGTGTGTGAGAGGACATCCCCAGATAGCTTCTTAAAGGGATTGTCCTGGCCAACAGGCCTCAGTTTCCTTTTCCTCCTGCTAGAAGGAGGAGGTCACAGCCAGAGACTTCCTGGGCGACCACCCCAGGGACGGACTTCTAGCCCCTGTCTGATATTGTTCAGTTGTTTACAGCTGCCCCACAGCCCCAGTGTCCTGGCCTTCAGGCCTCCCCCACGACCTGAGAGACAGCCACAGCACAACCTTGCGTGACTTCTATCTCTGCACTGGTTGTGGCTTTGAATGCAGCTCTGAGCAAATTCTGTGCAGATGTTCTCATTACTTCCTGGAGGGGACGCTACTGACCCTGGAGGTCATTAACAGCCAGGTCCTTTGAAGCCAGACATGCCCAGCCCTGTCCCCTGACCTCCCTGCCTCTGTCCCTGATGACCTGGCACCCATGTCCAAGTGGCATGGGTTTCTGTTTGGATGATTTACATGGATTTTAAACTTTGCCTTCGCTCTGGTCAAGAAAGATCAAACAGGAAAGATAATATTCAGTCAACTGAATAAATGATCATCTGCCTTCCAGAGCTGGGGAGAAGGGGTATGGATCGATTGTGCACTGCTGGGGGCTTCACTGAGCCACTGTGGCCGTGTATTGATGGTGAGTTGGCTGGGCGGCCTCGGGGCTGAGGCTCTGATGCCAGCCGTGTGCCCACATGGGGAATGTTCGATAGATAGCAGGGCTGCTTGTTTTGCTTTTGGCCAGAGGCCTTCTTGAATGCAAGAACCCAGAGACTACAGCAGAAGCAACAGTTAGGGGCAGGGAAGATTTTCAATCTTTTGGGGTCCATTGTTGGGTGCACACGTGGTTGATTCTTCTCGAGTTGTGTTAGCTGTGGTTGGGATGAACCCGGCTGGTGATGCAGGTCCTGGCTGTGGTACTTGGGTTTTGGTGAGGGTGTAATCCAGTGCTCCTTGAGCTGTGTCTGCAGGTCACCTCCTTCCCTGGCCCCCACATCAGGGGTGAGTGGACTCACTCCTTCCCCGAGGCCATAAATTCAGGAGCTTCAAGTTTTCTTTTGTGCCAAGCTTGTGGCTGCTTCTTCTGTATCCTGAGGGTGGCACTGTGGAGGGCATGATGCCTCCCAATTCTGCTCTTGTCTCTTCCCCAAAGTCCCCTTGGAGGTGTCTTCCTTAGAAACCTTCTGCTCACACCTTCCTCTAGGTGCCAGGTGCCTGTGTTTCTGCCTTAACCTCCCTCCCAGGCTGATTTCCAGTCAGACTCAGCTCTGTACCTCCAGAACAGCTCCCATATCTGTTGAAGCCACCCAGCTCAACTGCTGTGGCTCCCAGGCAGCCCCTGGGTCCCAGATCATAGACCTTTGCTCCAGCTGCAGTCACAGCCTTGCTACGTTGAATCTGTCCCTGGATTTCTAGACTGGGTCACCAGCCTTCACTGTATCAGTATTATGCTGTGATATTCTTGGATCCTTTTCAAGAAGAGGTCTATGGAAAGAAAGCCTGAGCCAGAAGTAGTGATTTTAGCCAGAGCTGAATTAGGTAGCAAACAAGGTATAATAATAGGCAAAGGGAACTTTAACTGAGGACGGTACTCTCCCAAGACAGCGGGGCTGGCACCTTGGAAAAAAGCTGAGTGCCACAAGGTGTGAGTTGATATTTTTCTTTTGCTTTCCTGTCCCTACATGTGCATGCATTGACCCCAGGCCCACTGTGTTAGTCAGCTGTGACAAAATACCTGACCCTTCAACTTGAAGAAATGTTTATTATGGCTCATGGTTTCAGGGGCTTTGGCCTTTGGTCAACTGGGGCTTTGGCCTTTGGTCAACTGGCTCCAAGGCAGACATAGCGTGTTAGAAGGGCCTGGTGTAGGAAAGATGCTAGGCCCCTAGCAGCCAGCAAGAAGACAGTGAGGGGGAGAGGGAAAGAGGAGCTGGGGATAAGAGTACAGACTTCCAGGTCATGCCGCCAGCGACCCACCTCTATACATGGTCTAAGCCACACACTGTTGAGACGCAAAGTACAGCCTATCCTGAAGCTAAAGTCCTTCCTAGCTGGGGCTCTGTGAAACTAGATAAGTTGTCTGGCTCCAAAATACACTGGCATAGGATATAGGATGTAATGTTTCCATCCCAAAATGGAGAAGTACGTTAGAAAGAGGGGGATGAGTCCCAGGGACTGTAGTACCTCTTTATCCATGAGTTTGCTTCTCAGAAAATATTAAATGGAATATTCCAGAAATGCATAATTCATGTTTTAAATAACTTGATTATAGTGTATTGTTGTTGTTCTATCCTGTCATTGTTGTTAACCTCTTACTCTGCCTGATTCGTAAGTTAAACTTTACCTCAGGTGTGTACGCACAGGAAGAAACAGTGTATATAAAGTTTGGTCATCCACGGGATCTTGGAACTTGTCCCCTGAAGATAAGGCGGGACCACTATAACCTATGATGGCAAACTCCGTTAGTCCTTGGCTTGGGAACAGTATTGTCTGGCTTGATGTTCTGACCCCCAAGCCCACTAGGACGGCAAGGCCACCTGCATGGCTCGTGAGGCAACACCACAGCTTTGTTTGAGGGTCTGGCCTGCAACTGAAATTGAAGTGTTGGCTTTGATGACCTCTAAAGCTCTTTCAGGGACATTCTGGCCTTTTCTGGAAGAATAACACAGGTTTGAAGCCCAGTAGTTTTATTGTCCAGTCCTTGTGAAATCTAGAAAGCCCAACAGCTTGTCTTCATTCTGTGCAGTCTCTGTCCACTTCAGTTAGGTCCAACGGTGATTCCTTTTTTGGGGGATTGTGGGCCTATGGTTCACACCTACACTAATCTCCTTATAGATCTCCCTACCCTTAGTATTTTCTTTCAAGTGTACTTTGTCATTTTTTGCAATATGGGTGGGCTGAGAATTTTCTAAATATTTAAGTTCTGGGTCCTTTTTGTTTATCAGTTTCTTCTTCAATTTGTTTCTCTCTTCTTATATTTTGCTATAAGCTGCCTGGAGGAAGCAAGCCACTCCTTCAACTCTTTGCTCAGGAATTTTCTCAAATATCTAGTGCTCTGCTCAAAGCAATTTTGTCACATCCTCCCTCCCACAAAACACTAGGACACAAACACAGTTCAGCCAAGTTATTTGCACTGTATAACAAGGGTTATCTTTTCTCCATTGTCTGATAACTGGCTGAGACATGTGCAGAATATCCTTTAATATCCCTAATTCTACCAACATTCTGGACACAACTGTTTATGTGTTTTCTAAGATGGAAGTTTTCTGTACATCTCTCCTCTTTTCTTTTGAGCCTTCACCAGACTCACCTTCATGAGTCCTTTCACGGCAATATCAGCTTTTTCTAATATGCACCTCGAAGCCCTTACAGGCTTCATTTAACCCATTGCCAAGATCATTTCCATATTTTTAGGCATTTCCCCACTCCTTGATGTCTCGGCTTGAGCAGCTATTATAAAAAATAAAAGACTGGATATCTTAAGCCACAGAAATACATTTCTCATTGTTCTGGAGGCTGAGATGCCTAAGATGAAGGTGCCAATTGGTTTGGTTCCTGGTGAGACTGTTACCGTTTTGCTGGATTCTCACAAAGGAGAAAGAGAAGAGAGGGGGACGTGGAGAGGGCAAGAGTGCATTCTGGTCTCTTCTTCTAGAGGAGGTACTATCATCCCAAGGGCCCGACCTCAGCGACTTCATCTAAACCTAATTGCTGAGCAAAGACCCCACTCCAAATACCGTCATATGGAAGACTAGGGCTTCAATGTGAGAATCTGAGTGGGTCAGAAATAAATATTCAGTCAGTAGCGTCCCTGTAACTTTGAACTTTGGCTTGCATTGTACTCTAGATCTTCCCTCAAGAAGACAGGAAGGATAAGAATGAAAGCATCTGCTGCTTCCTCCTATGGAGGCTCAGGGGGTCTTGGTGTCTGGCTCTGAGAGACAAAGATGTGAAGTCCAAGGCTGGCTGCATCCTGTCTTCTGGGGTACAGCTAGAGTTCTCCACTGTGGCCTGCTCACTGGGCTCCTGTAGGGGGAGGAACCATAGAGAATAGATAACTGCTGCCAGCTGCCAGTGTCTGCTGGCCTCAGAAGATGGACTGAGCATCTCCCCAGATCCTGCAGAATTGGTGCTCTACCAAGGCATGAGAGTAATGCTCACATGTGCACCCGAAGGAAGAGAAAGGTAGAAGTTACTGCTGAGTCTTGTGAAGTCAGAAGATACTCGGCCCCTAGGCAGACTACACAATCAAGGAAAAATCCCTGAACTGTTGCCCAGTATCACATTTCCCCACCCTGAAGCTTATACCCTAATCTTCAGAGGCCCACATCCTTGGTTCTCATTGTTCTCTGGTCTCTTTACTGCATTCTGGGTCCTTTTGTGGGGACCCCCAGAAAAACAATGCAGAAACGGTCTGATAGGAAAGTCTCCCACTATGGGAGTCTGTCTGGAAGTTCAGGTCTGATTATATCTTATGTCAAGTTTAGAAAGAGACCCAGAATTGCAGACTCCTGGGAAACTGATCTATTAAGGAGATAGTCCTAGAAGAAACTGGAGAGGAAGGGAAGCAGGACAGGCAAGAAGCCAGTGAAGGTGGTCCTGGGGAAGCCCTGTGGGAGTGACTCCAGCCTGATCCTGTGAGGCAGCCCTGGGCCAAAGGCTCCTGTATGAC